GAAATTCTTATTTCTACAAAAATAACCCTGCAAATTGTTATGTGCAAAGGTTTTCTATTACAGTTGCTGCAAGCAGTATATTGCATTACAGATTTTTCTTCTTTTTTTTTCTTCTCTTTTTTTGTATTTATTAACAAATGATGTATCATTTTGCACCTTTTCTTTATTTGATTTGCAGCAAATCTGTTTTGTTTCATACATTTTAGCATGTTCATATACATCTCAAGAATATTGCTTCAAGAATGTTTTGTATCTTTTTTATTTCAACTCCAAGATAACGTGACAAAAATGTTGAGTCAAAGTTTCTTTTTTGAAAAATAATTAAAAAAAAATAAGAAACAGAAATTGAAAGACATTACAACACTGAGTGAGCTTGCTTTGTGAAGATCCAATGAAAACTATCTATATTAGGGTCACCACTGTTACTTGAGGAAGAAAACTGTACTAAAGTAACCCTTTTATTATAAATCTCCTGTAACCTTATTGGAAATATAAGTACGTATGAGAATGTGATTGTCAGCAATGTTAATGATCCGAGTGTTGCTGTTAATCAGGTGCCTTGGTACAATTATGGGATATGATGAGGGGCTCTACCTTTCTAATCAATGTTCAAGCTCATACAGGCATTGTAAGGTTTCTTTCTGCACCAAAAAGTCGCCTCCCAGATGACAAGTCAACAGATACTACACTGAGATATATGAATCCTCAGAATAACACTTAGAACCTATCAACATTATCGTCAGGATTTAGGTTATATTTTGGTACAGTAATGGTCAATTTTGTTTCAATTAGCCTCCTCACACAAAAAATAGGTTTTTCAATTCAAACATTTTTTATCGCCGTAATCATCAGCAGCAACAGGATTGGGCACAAGTTATTACAACATTATTTAAGCCTTCTCCCAAAAAAATAACATCTACGGTAATTTGGCAAACAAATAGGTCAGGAATTTAGTTTATAATTAAATACATACAGGAAAGTTACATTGATTGCCGAACTAACAAAAACAAAATATAAACTTATTGTGATATAAAATCTACTGCTAGATTTAATGAGATTGTGCATATTTCTAAATGTTATTACATTGTCTAGAAAGAAATTTTAAGTCTCAATTAAAAAACATGGCTACATTGTTAAGATTGAGGAAAAACAAATGTCTCTGCTGTTCATAATCAAAGAAAAAATGGAAAGCATTTTGGCAAGGGTTTCTACATGAGCATTTTGGCAAGGGTTTCTACATGAGCATTTTGGCAAGGGTTTCTACATGAGCATTTTGGCAAGGGTTTCTACATGAGCATTTTGGCAAGGGTTTCTACATGAGCATTTTGGCAAGGGTTTCTACATGAGCATTTTGGCAAGGGTTTCTACATGAGCATTTTGGCAAGGGTTTCTACATGAGCATTTTGGCAAGGGTTTCTACATGAGCATTTTGGCAAGGGTTTCTACATGAGCATTTTGGCAAGGGTTTCCACATGAGCATTTTGGCAAGGGTTTCCACATGAGCATTTTGGCAAGGGTTTCTACATGAGCATTTTGGCAAGGGTTTCCACATGAGCATTTTGGCAAGGGTTTCCACATGAGCATTTTGGCAAGGGTTTCTACATGAGCATTTTGGCAAGGGTTTCCACATGAGCATTTTGGCAAGGGTTTCCACATGAGCATTTTGGCAAGGGTTTCCACATGAGCATTTTGGCAAGGGTTTCTACATGAGCATTTTGCGCCATCAGTCAGATTTACACAAAATGAATCATACATATTTCAAAGAAGTACATCGATGACATAACTTTGTGTGAATCATATTTAACCTCCTGTTACCAGATCCATAGTAAACCTGGGGGTCTGATTGGTCTGGAGTTACAAAAGATTTTAAAGTATGCAAAGATGGTGAAGATCTAGATGTAATATTTCAGATTTACAAAATCCTGTCTGTTTCTTAACAGATATGGAATAGCTTGACCAACTGTAGGAAGTAACAAAGAATTAAAAAAGTCAGGAGATATACCACTTTTTATCTTATACAATAATTGTAATTTCTTTCTTTCCCTTCTAAGTGAAAGTGCTTGAAGACCTGTTTTAACATGGAGAGAATTGTTACTATCATAAGTGGTGAAACCCATAATTCCTTAGCATATTCTAACATTGGTAAAAGAAATGTCCTATATAATAGGTCCATGTATATTTTTCTACAAATTCTAGTAGAATTTTCTAATATTTATACATATATTGATCTTAAAATATGTTTAATATGTGGAAAACTAATCAATATGGGTAGACTTTCTTTGAAGTTGATACTACATGGAGACAGAATTTCCTGTGTATGTGTTCATAAAATGCTTTGAAGTATTGGTTTATGTCTTAGATTCATGAATATTTTACTCATCATTTTAAAATGCCATTTTGTTATACGAACAGAATTTGTTTCTTAAAGTTGAAATGGATATAAGATTCATATAAAAAAATTTCAGGAAATTTCATTTACTTTGAGAAAGATAACCATTAAAAAATTAGAATCAACAACAAAAAAGCTTCAGTTTGAACCTCCCAAGTTTCACAGTGAATATATAGAGGTGATTGCTTCATCTAACATAGAATAGTTGCCCTAAGATTTCTTAAATGAAATTTGATTCAGATAGACTTTAAAAACAAGCTGGGGAAAAAATTATTATGAGAAAAAAGTCTTTTGTTTCTGGGTAATGACAATAAACAGAGCACCATTGGGAACAGGGGGGGGGCACAGAAACATGTGCTACACTGTTGATAGTGCAGTCACACAAACGTTTGATTCATTGCGCATCAGTTAATCTGTAATACAGCTTTCATTGCACACAGATGGCAGTGGTCTACCAATGAGTGTAAACTGTCCTGTATGTATTCTGAATTTAGATACGTTATCAGGAAAGAAGTCGTTAACAGTGATATCATATGTATTTATTACCCTATTGATTTCATGTGGTTTGCTAAAAGCGTGGGATTTGCTAAAATAACTTGGCCATCTTGTCATAAAGTACTTCGGAACTAATGCATTGACATGAGGGAAGTCTTTGCAAAATGCGATTATACAATTTAATTATGAAGCCTCTTTATAGAAATTAATTGATTTCAATAGAAAAAAATAAAAATGATTGAAATCCTAATCTCGAGTGATTTGCTTCTTTTGAAATGAAAGAAAAGAACTTAATTTCAATATTACAATTCTGTTCAGGATTAAAACAAAATATTGTTAAATCAATTTTTTAAATGACATGTTTTTTTCATCTTTTATCCAATCGGATTTTAGAAATTAAGACTGGCGACAGACAAAATAATCAATGAGAGTATTTATGAAATTGTTTTTTTTGTTGTTAACTGATCACTTTGTTGCATTGAGTGTGCTTGGCAGATTTTTCATTTCCTGAAAATCCTCTTTGAAATCAATATTTCAAAAGGATTGAAAATATGACAAGAGTTGAAAATAGGACAATCTTGATGAAATAAACACATGGTTTGCCATCTCCAGATAAAAAAACGGAAATAAAAAAATAAAATATAGAAGAACTGTTGTTTTGTCGCAGTAGTGAGGATTTAGAGACCAGAAAAGAGGGCCTGACATGTCAAGCGGATCAAAAAGGATTATATCATAGTGTCAGGAAATTTGATAAAGTATTAACATTTCAGGAACAGCGTTTTCTTTTTTTGGCTGATGGTAATACACTGATGTCTGCCTGGTGTGTCAGACACAGTGTATTTGGCTCTGTATATCATTTATCAAAATATGTATAATACTGCGATAGATTGTAGATTTCCTTTTTGGAAGTATGGCTAGCATTGTGAATCAATCAAAAAATTTACAATGTTGTGATTTAGTTTCGTAGCATTGTGGTTATGTACTGTTTTAATGAGTTATTGTGTTTATCTGGTTTTTGTTTTTGATGTTTTCATTTATTTCTGGTGTTTTATGCAATTTAAATTTTGTTTATGTTATGATGTGTATTTTTCTAGTGGGCTTTATAACCCTGAGTAAAATCTTATTTTTGTGACCTTAAGGTAACCATTCATAAAATCCTCGACCTTGGCCCCTCTAGATTTGCCTGTACAATATCACTGACCTAATTTTGACTGTTGATTTTTTTCTTGAAAAATAATTATTAATTACAATGAATGTCTGCCATGTTTCTTCATGATTTTGTGATCATTTTCAGATATGTCGCATCGTATTTCAGTGCTCTTAAAAGTTCATCATTAGTTGAAACTTTATACATTGTTTTATATGGATCTTTAACAGAGTTATTGCCCTTTTATTGCCTCTCCCTTAGGTACTGTATGTTTGCCTGTAAATGCTATCAAATATCACACCCATCACACACAACTTCTCTCCCACCCCTCTTCCTCCTCTCCCAGCCCCACCCCTCCTCATCCTCCCCCAGCCCCTCTCTCCTTTCTCAGCCCCACCCTTCATCCTTCTCCCCACTTCTAGTCTCACTCTCCCTAAAGCCAATTTATTCCCACCCCTCCTCTTCCAGCCCCACCCCTCCTCATCCTCCCTCAGCCCCTCCTTCCTATCCCAGCTCCACCCTTCATCCTTTTCCCCTCTTCTAGTCTCACCCTTCCTAAAACCAATTTAGTCCCACCCCTCCTCTCCCAGCCCCACCCCTCCTCATTCTCCCCTAGCCCCTCCTTCCTATCCCAGCCCCACCCTTCATCCTTCTTCCCTCTTCTAGTCCCACCCCTCCTAAAGCCCTTCCCCACCTCCTCCCCAGCCCCTCCTTTCTATCCCAGCCCCACCCTTCATCCTTCTTCCCTCTTCTAGTCTCACCCCTCCTAAAGCCCTTCCTCTCCACCTCCCCAGCCCCTGACCTCTCCTCATCCTTCCCCAGTTGTATTCCTCCCCACCCTGAATATTCTATTCTCTCCTCATAGATAAATGTGACATTAAGAGCATATTCCATGACATTTTACTGATATTCAATACAACATAAAACTAACTTGATCAGCTGATGCACATTTTGATCTTGATTTTTCAGATGTGATACCTCGCTTAATCTGCGGAGCTACAGGTAGGATTCTTCATTTATCTGTCTGTCTGTCTGTCTGTAACTGTCCGTAACTGTCTATCTGTCTGTCTGCCTGTCTTAACAGCACCTTTTTTTTTTATCAATTTCAAATATCAGTATTGCTTTTATGTAGATGTTGATGTAATGAGAAAGAAAGATGTAATGATGAAAAAAGTGAGAAAAAAGCAAGTTAAAAATTACCATATAATTATGTAATATTTTTTTGTCACACAACCTGCTATGTGTAATGTGTATCTGGAAGTAGCTGGTTTAGTAGTTTCTACCTTCAAAGTTATGTTTAGATCTGATACAATTTGATAGGATACAATTGAAGAAGGTCTATTATATAAGTATGATATGTTTCTCATGTAATATACATACACCATATGATAAAAAGTTGATAACGTTTTAAAGCTCGTCTCTGATACGCTTGTATTATGGGTTTTGTACCTCGTGTGTTGGGTGTTTTCATCTGTGTAGCCTAAGATTAGACAAGCCAGACAGCAATTCAAACCTCTAGCTATAACTCTCTAATTATCGGTACGAAAATAAAAAAAGAAGCAAATTTTTTTCCCTGTCAGCAACAGATTGTCAAGCTGAATTAATATGTTCATGTTTTCAAATGAAAGTTGGTGAAATTGCTTTGTACTGTAGCGACAGATGATATTCCAGGTGCTGGTGTAAAATTACATGTTGTTATGTAATCTTCCGCTCAATGGTTTAAACCTGACTGCAGGGCAACATCACTGGGGAGGCGTCTGTCCAAAACATGAACACCTTATACAGTGTCACTATGCAATTTTTAGCATTAAAGATTACCTGGAAACCAAGGAACTTGGGTTCAGAATCAGTTTGTTTTAAGACTTATTTTAGCCATACTTGTAATAGAGATGTTTCCTAATCATGATTGTTCTTAGTGAGACAGCTTCAGAATTTATTTCACTGTGGAATAGTGCCAAAATATCTTCTCCAATGACTGGTATAGACTTTACAGAATATATTGTTTCCTTGTAAGAAAATATCTAAATATGATCCATTGTCAGAGAGTTTCAAAATCCAATTTCTTAAGAGGGTACTTAGTTTTCATACTTTTTAATTTCAATTTTGAAGTAGGTCACTAATATCTACTTGATATTTGGAAGGATGTTCATTGTCGTTGATATTCCTTCATCACAGATTCTGTATTTGAGGTTTACGTGTTGTTGGACTACAGGAAATGTTACAATCTTGTTGTGGTATACAGGTTATAATCTACTTTGTACTTTTCAAATGGCCCTCCATCCATGATCTGTTTTCTGTCAGTTCATAAACAATTTTTGTTATTGCTATATCTTGAGAACTACAACATAGATTTTCTCAAATTTCATGTGTATTTTTTTTTCTTGATCCCTAGTTGTACCTGTTTAATTTTAGTACTGATCAGGTAAAACAGAATGGCACACAGACGGCCATCTTTGATTTTGATTTTGAAAGTTTGTTATTGCTACTTCTTGAGAAACATTGTATAGAAATTTCTCAGCCTTCATATTGAGGTTCCTCTTTGTCCCTAGTTTTGCTCATTTGAGATAGGGACTGATCAGAAAAACAAAATGGCTGACAGGCAACCCTCTTGGATTGGGCAGATAAAGAATATCATCAGTATTTCTGCAAAGGAATGTTCAAATTTCTTAAGAGCAAAAACAGAGAAGAGATGAGAAAAGAAGGGAAAAGATGCAACTTTCAAAGAGCAAATAAACATCAAACAATGATAATGCAAAGATCCCTCTGGGATCTCTTGTACATGAATGAAAGGGACTTAATTTTAGCAACAGAAATGTGAATAAAAATATTTCTGTAAAAACATAAATATCCAGGTGAGTGAAACAGGCCCTATTTGCAATTTGCGTATTTTTTCCCCAACTCATTCAGAATTATATGTCAATTTGATGGTATAATTGACCTATTTTCAATATTGCTGTATACTATTAGGTGATAGCTGAAGATTGCCTGTTTATTGGCTAATCTATTGTTAATCATTAAGTACCAATTGGTGAAATTGAGGTCTATTTATAGCAGTTGATGAGGAAATCATTCTAATTACAATAACTGAATTAACTGTAAAGTACTTCTTGTTGGGTTTCTACCTACATATACACTGCAGGGCACTAAGATTAGTGAAACCATTCCCCCACCCTCTTTAGATAAAAGATATAAAATTCAGTTACCCATCTGGTACATTATATCCCTAGGGGTTCTAAAAGAGTGATTTGAAAGGATATCGTTTGATGGTAAAAAGTTATTGCTCCCTTTATGTCACTATATAAACAGTTGAGTCTTTGATTATTTTGCCCAGCTAATTTTCCATCTGACCTTGACTTCTCACAGGGCTTTGGTCATTCAAAAAGATTCCAGATATACAAGACTCTTGATGTGCATCAAACATTTTTAAAGTGTTAATGAACGCAGTCTAGAAATCACTCTCTACTTTTCATCAGAAGATCATTTGATCATTTAGTCACAAAAAAAATCTATGCATCCAGTTATTAAATAGGTAATGAAAAGATTATCACTTTTTACATACGAGTATTGCAAAGATCGAAAATATTTCTGTAGAAAATTTGACAAGGAGATCATAAGACTGAACAATAAAACAAATGACTATAGGGCGTGTTTCCCTGTCAAATGTCACGATTTCATAAAAAGGATTTTGATAGTGTACAGCACCATCTGGTGGCTACTTAGCATGTTCAAGTACTTTGAATAGGAAAAGGGTTGTTGAGTTTTCAAGAGTACTTGGCGTAATGCCGGAATGTGCCAAACCTAACGTTTGTTTCATCCAAGAAAAAAACTGGCACTCACAATTCCTTCCTGCTGTCTATTGTATCTTGTAATTATTGCAAAAACCATAGATGGATGTATGATTTTGTCATTCATGGATTAAATTTTCACATTAAGTAACCTTGACTTGACCTCTAAGTGACTGTGAAGATTATGTACAAATCAAGATAAGTTCAGTTCAGTTTCTGTGTAGCTGGCCTTGCACGGAATCATTGTTTGTAATAGGCAATTATAGAAATATGGTGTTGTTCTTATATCTTTTTAGCCCACCATCATCAGATGATGGGCTATTCAAATCGCCCTGCATCCGTGGTCCATCCATCTGTCTGTCATCCGTCCATCCTGAACAATTTTTGTTATTGCTATTTTTTGCTATTATTGCTATTTCTGTTTGATTGAAGTGCCTTTGAAAGTTTGTTATTGCTATTTCTTGAGAAGTGTCTGTTGGATCTTTCTCAAATTTGATATGTAGGTTCCACTTTGTTCCATAGCTGTGCTTGTTGAAGGTTGGGACTGATCAGAAAAACAAAATGGCGGACAGGCAGCCATCTTGGATTTTGCCTAGTAAAGATTGTTATCCCTATTTCTTAAGAAGTACTAAATAGATATCTCTCAAATTACATACCTTTGTTCCCTTTAGTCTTTCCTTGTGTGTGTTTGATTTTGGGACTGAACAGAAGAAACAAAATGGCTTACACATGGCCATTTTGGATTTGGCAGATTGTCATCACAATTTTGCAATGGAATGTTATTATTAAGAGCAAAAACAAAGGAAAGAAGAAAAAAGATTCAACTTTCAAAGAGCAAATAAAGATCAAACAATGGTGGGCACCAAGATCCCTCTAAGATCTCTTGTTTTATTTTTCTTTCTACAACTTTCCTTTCCCAATTTGCTTCTCCTTGACACCAACACAGAATCCTATGTGAAATTTCTAAGTTGATGATTTATTCTCAAGTCCATAAATGTCCTCACTTTCCTTGTCAATTGTTACCTTCTAGTCATTCTTTAATTCCAACATGCATTTAAGTTTGGGTAATTGAATGTTAGCATGAAAGAATTATCCTGAAGCTGGTGAAGATTTTATTTTAGAGATAATCTTGGGCTAGTGTTATGCTTGATATGAGAGACAGAGTCAAGTACAGTTTCAAGTAGTTATTGACAGGATTGTAGGAGCTGGGAACCTCAGGAAGAACGAACAAAGCTTTCAGTGTGCATCTACAGACAACACTACAGTGAGAGGAACAGACATCTCTTTCATTTAACACTGTGCTCATTTTATCATCCCTGAGTCATATCTGTAGGTCTCAAAATGTTTCGGTTGTCATATTAAAATATATTCCTTATGTAATCATCTTTTAAAAGTTGTCAGAGATACTGATCATGCAAAACTTTCATTCATTGACATGTCTTACAAGACTTTTCAAGTTATTTGACATTTCATACAAGATACTTTGAGTTGAGTTTAATTGATATTTCGTGTAAAATTCTGACGTTTTGAAAAAGGCTCTTCAAATTGTTTGATTTATTTTTCAGTCAATGATGTTTAAATTACTTCTTTAAGAATGCTCAAGTAAATTATGTGTTTTGTTTCGTTGATTATAAGTTTGACCCACTCACCGTCAGTAAAGGTGAATGTCATCTTTATAAACAAACTTCAAAAGACTTCTTCTTAAGAACCAATAGGTTAATAGTAATAACAGATGGTATAGCTTCTGGTAGAGACAATTACAGGGCTAGGAATGTTACAATCCCCTTGGGCCTTGACTGTCATAGGTTTACATGGTGTTGTTCTGAAATAACATATCGTTTTGCGTGAAGCCAATGTGACACATAATCTTAGGTTCTATATCCATTCTGATCCAATGTCATATGTGACAATGTATGCAATTAAATTCCTGTGTTTGAGATCATTTTCATGAACTTTTTGACAGATGTAGTTCATATTTATGCCAAAGTATAACAACAAAGAGGTTTGTTTACTGAGGAGCAGTGTCAGTATAAAGGAAATTCTCATTTTTCAAACCTTGATAAAGAATTGTACAACAAAATATGAATTTATTTTTGAGGGAAAGTTTGGAGTTTTACAGTGATTTGAACCTTTGGGTATATATTTGAAAGAGCTATCAGGTTTCAGTCCCTTTCTAAAGAGTTACGACCATAATCGTTATTAAACATGCATTATACG